CTCCATCTGCTCCTGTGACGATCTACAGCCTTGGTTGGAAACCCCAGGGAGCAGTTCTGCCTTGTTTTATCAGGGTATTAGGAGCAGGAATTGACGTGGTGGTGATCCCATGCCCACCCCCTTTTAAAGGAGACCTGTTGTTAAGTCTAAAGCTGCTTCAGTGCACCCTAACCCCACACACCACAGATGGTTCTGCGCCATGCCCATGAGCAGCTAAGACTGGACTGCTGAGACCCGTGGGGTTTTCACTGGCTGATTTTTGGATGTAGATTCCAGGCCTTCTTTCTTGGTCTCTAAAGATCTGGAAGTTCTGCTGAAACCTGTTCATCATCCTAGCAAGACACCGGCCTCCACTGACAGGTGGGCAGTAGCTGTTTTTCAGTTTCCTAGGCTGAGCATCGAACCCCGGTCTTCTGCACAGACAGTGAGCATTCTACCACTGCCCTCCAGTCCCACGGACAGCTCAAAACACGAACACATCTGTCCTGGAAGAAGCACAGTCAGAGTGCTTCCTAGACGCAGGGATGGCAAGACTTCGTCTGAGATTCTCTGGACATATTGTCAGGAAAGACCAGCCCCTGGAGGAGGACATCTGCCGGGGAAGTCGAGGAGCCGTGATGAAGAGGAAGGCTCTCGCAGAGACATATGGACACCGTGGCCGTCACGAGGGGCTCAAGCATAAGAGCAATCATGGCACGGGGGCAGGCCGTGTTTCCTTCTGTGGAACATGGAGCCGCCATGAGTCAGAACAGACTCGATGGCCCCCAACACCGACAGCAGGGCTCCTGGTGGCTCAGTGGGGCTACACATGGTGCTGCCAGCCTCAAGGCCAGTGGGTCTCCTAGTGGCTCAGTGGCCTACACATGGTGCTGCCAACCTCAAGGCCAGTGGGTTGAGCTCACCAGCCGCAGTGAGGGAGAAAGAGAAGGCTGTCTTCCTCCAACAAGGTGGTGGGAAACCCTCAAAGGCAGTCCGCCTCTGATCCGAGGCCATGCCTGGGTCACAGTGGCTTTGCCCACAGCAAAGGAAAGCAGAGCAGGGCGCGTGGACCGAGTCTGCTGCTACTTAAAACCAGACCGTCGTGTGTTAGTCAAGGGTTAACTAGAGAAATGCATGTGTGTGTGTAAGAGAGAGTTTTATATCAAAGGGCAATTGTATATTAAGAAAACATTCCAGCCCAGTCCAGACCAAGTCCGTAAGCCTGTTATTAGCCCATATGTTCTATTCCAGTCTATAAATTCCTCTTCAGACTCACGAGACACATGCAGTGACACCGAGTGCAGGCAGATCACAGGCCAGTGGGTGTGAAGTCTTGTGGATCCAGTGGTGGTGGAAGCAGCTCAGCACTGGCGTGGGTCTCCTCCAGCTCCAGGGCTCTGGCTCCATCAGTGTAGCTCCATGCGGCTTGTCAACAGGAATGTGTAGCAGAGAGTGTCCTGCCTCCAGGGAGGAAGACAGGAGTTCCCAGAATCCTCAGGAGAAGGCCACGCCCATCCAGAGGTGTCATTGGCTATGACCTCATTGCCAGGCTAGACTCCACCCCTTCTCTCAAGTTGGCAGGAGATGATGTCAGTTGCTGGGTCTGGCGACATCAGAGAGAGGAGAGGGAGTCGTAGAGAACAGCAGCCCACCAGAAGCCTTTTGTGAGACCTCTCTCTGTGGTAAGTGGGCAGCCAGGGAACCCTTTGGCACCACTTAGAATTAGATGCCAATGCTGGAGTGAGGAGGTTGGATAGCCACACTTGGTACATTGGAAAGGCACCCTGGTGGCACGGTGGTATAAGCATTGGGCTGCTAACTGCCAGGTGGATGGTTCCAACCTACCAACGGCTCCTTGGGAGAAAGACGAGGCTGTCTGTCTCGGTAAAGATATCTACATTCTCAGAAACCCTATGGAGCAGGTCTGCTCTGTCTTACAGGGCCGCTATGATTTGGGACAGCAGAGGGGTTGGTTTGGGATACATTGGCAAGAATCCCTGGTGGCACCGAGGTTCAGCATGAGGCTGGTGACTGGAACACATCACCCTTCTGTGCTCTGGACAGGGAGGAACTAACAGTGGCACCTCAGATGCTTAATGCCCAGCTCTAACGACTCCTGGGAACACATTAAAAGGCACCCAAGTGGTGTGGTGAGTTATGCCTTGGGCTGCTCACTGCAAGGTCAGTGGTTCAAACCCACTGGATCCGTGGGAGGAAGGTGAGGCTTTCTGCTTCCACAAAGAGTGACAGTCTCAGAAGCCCACAGGGGGGATTCTACTCTCACCTGTGGGATCACTGTGAGTCGGGGTCCACTTGGTGGCTGCCGGTGGGGACATTAAGTTGAGGAGAGAGTACAGTCAAGTCCCTGATGTGGGTGAAGCCTCTTGATGCATCCCAGGTGGG